TTGCCTCGATATTGCCTTAAGTCACAGGGATTATAAGCTAAGATAGATAGTGGATAGCATTGGAATCCAGAAGGCACGTTCCGACCCATTTAGGACTCGTCAGTTGGATGTACCTATATCCCAGAATTGATGTTCACTCAGAGACTCAATATGTATTTAAAAAATTTCATAATGACGTTTCTTATATGAACTGACTGTTCATATCGAATCACATATTCACTTACATGTCTTCAATCTGTGATGAAAAATTACATGAAATCATTTGTAGACTAATAATATTTCTTATTAAAATAATTATTTAAGTAATAGATTAACTTTTTAAAGTATTTAGAATATGAAAGAATAGTGTAGATATAAGATCAGTTCGTTTGTACTTATGATTATGACTAGTCAATGAGATTGTTGCCCGTTGTTCTATTCACGTTTTTCTAATGAATTTCATTATACAGTAAATCATTTTTATTATTTTACAATCAATAATGTATATGAATTGAATGCAAACTACATAGAAGTGGATGCGTAACATGTACTTGATAATGTATAATAAACTTTATCTTATAGGCCATGAATACGAGTAAACTTTCAACAAAGTTATATACCACAAAAATCTAAACCCTTAAGCAATCCCATATGAGATCCCTATGAAATTGTGAATAAAAATTAAATTAGTATGCTTAAATCAATGATTGACTAGATAAAAACAACTCAGTTGATACATTCTAATTGTTATTTCGTTGCATTCTATTCTGTTGTATAATGTATTGCTTTGGGTTTTATACAAGTCCAATTAGTCAGATATCTTATTTTTCTTATTTATTTATTCATTTGTTTATTTATTTGTTTATTTACATATGACTGTTTGTAGAGAAAATTTTCAATATGTTACGTAGAAATCATATGTATAAACCTTTATAAACTATTCAATGACTGAAAGGTTTGCACTTTGATTACATTTTTTAATTAATGACTGAATTTCACTGATTGAAATCATGAATCATTTGAAGCTAGACCACTATGGAAAACCAGGAAGCACTGGACAAAACCCCTTCTGATAATAATCATCTGCTCACCAGTGACTGGCTTCAAGAGGTATATCCTGGAGTTCTAGTGAGAAGTAGTGACCAGTGGAGTTCAACCAGGTCTGTTGTGAGATATCAGTTCACTGAAGACAATGGTGTACGGTGGCGCAACTTCGTGGGTTGGTTGAAGTTAGACATTAACACCGTTCAATGCTAGCCAGCTCAGTGGTCTAGTTGGTTAAGCGCCTGGCGCGAGGGTGATAGGTCCTGGGTTAGGATTTCACGTGGTGTAGGGTTGTGGGTGAGCACTGCTGAGGAGTCCCGTGCTAGGACGGAACGGTCATCCAGTGCTTCCAGGTTTCCCGGGTTGATCGAGCTTAAACGACTCGTGATTTCAGTCAGCGAGATTTCTAAAATCTCCACAAAATCTACTACTGTTAATGACCAAATGTTTTTTCTATTGTAACTTAGTGTCTTAATGAATAGCAATAGAGTTTTTATTAAGTTCACTGATTAATTTACACTTTATTACGAACATGAACCCATATTGGAATATAGATATATGTCATAGATAAGTCTCAAATACAAAGTAAATTGTGCTTTCCAGTTTAAACCAATCAAATGATGCACATTTTAGTTAAACCCTTAGCTTGGATTTTAAATTTTTACCACCTTTTTTGTGTATGAATAAATTCCTATTCCTGTGTACATTTTAATTTCATGATTAACAATTCATGTGATGATCTAAATAATACACTACTCCTTTCCTTATAAATATTAACCTCAATCAACTGTACACTTATAATACTATAATTAACAGCTTAATATTGTAGAGAATATCATGTGGGTTGTCCTCAGAATAGTTCAGTTTGTTCAAAAGGGATTTAGTTTTAGTCGTTTGATTGTTATATCTAATTTTCATTCATATGAAAGTACATGTATATGATTAAATCACAATCAATCAATCTTTAATATTAGTAGGGTTTTTTGTGGATATTATAGTAATTTTAATAGTTGAGATCATGTATCAGTTGAAGCTAGACCACTATGGAAAACCTGGAAGCACTGGATGGCCGTTTCTTTGGGTAATATTTTAACTCTTAGGTCTATCGAAGCGTCCAAGTCACCCAATTGAGATACGGGAAAAACTGAAGTTCGAAAAATAACGATTTGTCTAAAATCGTGGTCCTCAACTCGTAAGGTATCTGCGGAGTTTAACGCGTCCTTTCGTACGAAATAACAACGGCTTCGACTGTGCAAAATTCAGGTGATAGCTGTGTCTAAATTTGGTAACAGTTTACCAACAAGCAAAATCCGAACTAAGAGCAAACAATATGGAAACCTTTGCGTTTAAACGAATGCAAAAAACTTTAAAATTTGCTGGGAATATAACTTTTTACTGAATATAAAGAAGTAGTATAAAACAATACGCAAAAGAGTAGAGGAGAAGCGAGTAAAGACAATGTAAAACAAACTTAACAGTAACTAAGTTAAAAATATAACACTAGCTAGATAGTTTCTATGTTTTATTACTATACGGAACTAAAGTAAACGAAAATAAAGATTCTTTTTTTAAAATTTCTATCGTGTTTGTATTATAGGCTCAATTTGTTTAATTAAATATATTAATTTACTCCAACTTAGCTAAGAATTTATAAGTGCGACTGAACTTAGTAATTCGGTACAATTGACTTGAAGATTGTAAATGTAGAGAAATATGAATTAGATACATTTATTTTTAGGCGATCAATTCATTCCACATTTTTTTGTTTATGCGTTTACAAGTTATGAACATCCTACTTACTTATTTCTTGTCCTGATGTACTACGAATGGTTGTTTCAATCTCATCTTAGGTGTTTTTATTCTGTTTTAGTGAATTGTATATTGAATAGACTTTAATTGTTTGTACATAGATTTTATAATACTCTTGGATTACTTCTATCTCAATTTGATGTTTCTGAGATTATTTAATAAAATGAAAATCTGCTTAGACTTTATTTTAAATAAAACTGTTTCATATTTGTTACAAACTTTCATCCTATGGAGCTGCTTCTCCATTGAATATACTAAATAAATGGAAAGCTGAAACAAAGCAGAGAAAAGAGTCTATTTTTAAGTTTGTCTTTTCTAGACATTGGGGTATTTGAGATTCTATCAGTGATAATGATCATCAGCAGAGTTTGATAGTGCCTAACAATGGAATCCAGAACTCACGTTACGTTCAATACTAGCCACCAACCATTTCTGCTTATAATCCCTGTAACTTAATATTAATAGGAGGACAGCTCTCAAAAGATGCATATATGTTAATAAAAGACTGATCGATAACAGTCCTAAAGCATCAATGAGAAAATTCAACACAACCAATACAAATGAGATAAAGATCGTAGTTTAACTAAACGTATCTCAGTTATATCACGATGTGCTCATTAATTTCTACTTTTTCTACAAATAAGCAACAATTTAATTTTTCATAAAATGTAAGACTTGACAAACAAATAATTATATAAGTTAGTCATCATGGTCAGTAATTAAGGAATATGCCATGATTATTAAAACCTCCTACTTATTGATTTATACAATATGAATAATCTGATAATGTAGACTGATATCGTGGATTTAACTAGTCTTTAAGCATAAGCGGTTATCCTATGAAATTTATTAAGTAAACAACTGAGTTAAATAAAATAAAAGGGATAATAGTTGTTGAGTTCGGTTGGAAAGATGAAAACAACAAATTGTTGCAAATATAGATTTATTTGAAAGACATTACCAATAAGAATTTTGTTTTATACAAGAACATGTAAACCAAATAATTCATTAAACTATTAGATATGTTCAATAAAAGAGATGTGGCCTGTAAACTTTTCTGATTACTCATACTTATTCACAATGGCAAAACTCTAATTTATGAGCGGGCCAAACAGAAGCATTCGAGGGATTTCAAGGTCACGATCGGTTTGCAGCGGATTTTAGAGAAGACGTGATTATTGAGCGACTTCAACAGATGGAACTACTAAGAAGTTCCTTTACCTGTGACTGTGGTAATCAAATGACTGCAGTACTGTGTTCAGACCATTTTGATGACATTGCTTTTAATTTTCTTTATATTGGGGGAAAAAGTCTGCTCGAACGGTTAGTTTCTTCGCTCGATCGCGATTAAGGCTGAGACAAATCATGATAATTGTCACAAATTGGATAATTGAAGCACCAGTAACACTAACTGCAGCATTTGCAGACGTTACTGAGACTTCAGCTGTACAGTGGTATGAGTATTGCAGGGATATATGTGCAATTAAAATGACAAGTTTACACAAGTCGTACAAAGGAGTTGGGAATATTGTTGAAATAGATGAAACAGTAGTACGGAAGTGGAAATATAACAGAGGACAGAATATTAAGAACATACCTCACAGGTACTTGGAATTTATGATCGATCAACGCAAAAAAGACATTTTCAAAAAGTCAGAAACCGGAAAGCGAGCACACTAATACCAATTATACAGGAGTACTTTCAGCCGGCACTACGATATATACAAATGATTGGAGAGCGTATAGATGCCTTCATAGACTTGGGTATGTGCATCATGTCTTTGTGAACAAGTGCCATTTTGTCGACCCTACAAGGGGCGTTCACACTAGTAATATTGAAGCCAAGTGGTCCAGACTAAAGGAGTTTTTAAGACCGTATCACGGCTCCAGAGTTCGACTATTATGGAGCCATATGGATGAATTCCTATACAATATGTACTATGATTTCAGAACCTCTGAACCTTCATCAAACCTTAATAAGTTTTTAAATCATGTAAAAGAAGAATATCCACTTTAATTCTTCAGTTTTTTATGGTATATTTTTACTTTGTACTGTCTTCTGATTGACTAATAATTGTCAAGGTCACTTAAGATCCGCTCAAAGGTCGTCCATAAATTCGAGTCTCACTCTGAGATGTTACTGGCTACTAATGAGTAGTCAACTGTTCAGAACAAAAAACATATTGTGCTTCGGAAACTTCTGTGGTGAATCTTCTGATCTATTCAGTAAACAACACAATTTTATTCATTGACTCGTATAGATCTTCAGAAATGATAAACGAAAACGACCCCAGTTTTTCGTTATTGTTAGTTTGCTTTGGTTAATATGGTCAATATTAACTAATCCAGTTCCATCTAATGATCATTTCCTGTTTCTTCCAGCAAATTGAGGAGACCAGAGAATGGGAGTCAGGCCTATTTCAGTGTACAAATGACCTTACTAGTTGTAAGTTTTTTTACAAACTGAAATATTTGTTTTACGACAATTATTTTAATGTAATATATTGTATTTGTCAGAAGAATAATTTGTGATGTTTATATTGGGATCACAAATTGATTTTAGTTAGAAAACTGTTGAAAACCAGAGGGATATGGACATTTGTTTGTTCCTATTATGGAACTCCTCTGAATTATGCATTCACAACCTCAACACATGGAATCAAACCCATAATTTTCGGTCTCGCTCGAACGCTTAACTTTAGGATCACTTAGCCAAGTTTGGATGGTTTTCAACTCTAATCAGTTCACGATATTACTTAGCCATGTTCCACTATTGGAGATCAAAAACCCTAGGTGTTTTCCTAGTTGCTAAGTCATGATTGCGTACTGAGGAGTCCCGTACTCGAATGATATGGATTTCCTGTGAGTCCAGGATTTCCATGGTTTTCTAAATTGGACCGGTTTGTGATTTCAAAAAAAATAAAGCCATCTATATTGTCCCATATTGATAATTATGTTCATCGTTCACAATAATTACTTTTGCATTGTTCAACTACTAGAAGTTCATATAGAGCAGTTGACTATATGATTTACTTTTTATATGATGCAAACTTAACCACGGAAATTAATTGTGAAATTTGCTGTTCTACTTACTTCAAATTGAAGAATTTTTAACTTTCTATAATTTGAAATTATAGTTATTTGTTCAAAAAGCTACTGGTCAGAGTTCTAGTCAGAAGCTATGACCAGTGAGTTATAACCATTTTGGAAGTTAGGTAGTTGTTAACATTGTATTAGATAAGGATTGTGTAATACTGCCTCAGTGATCTATAACTTGAGCACTTTTTCTATATACCGACATCACTTGATTATGAATACCCAGTTCTGGGGAGTTATGTACTAGGATGATCGTTTCACTAAGGTCAGTCTATAAGATAAGCTAAAAAACCTTTTTTCTTGTCAAAGCCCTAGATTTATCGTATTTTCAGAAATCTTCCCTTCCCTTGCTAATGATTTTGAACAAACCACTATTGCCAAGATGCAGAAAATTCAAAGGGAATATAAATAAAAACAAGAGATTTTTATTGACAGTAATTATTCAAACAATGTTACGTTTAACAACATTAGAGATTATTAACTTGGTAAGGACGGTATAGATTCTAAACGTTTATTCATGACTACTTCGCAATTTCATAGAATGTGATAGAAAATAAAACACCAATTAGCATTGTGGTGAACACGAACACGAGTGGGGATCACTGAATACAATTGAGCGTAAAATTACAGAACATCTCATTAAAATCTGAGAGCCATATAGTAAATAGTTAATTTGCAAAATACCAATCAATTGTCTCAAACTTGACTGTTCCTTTTGCGAATCTCAATCCATCGTCTCATATTTCATTGTTCATGCATTTTTATACCAATTGCTTTCTGTTCCCGTTCTTTCCCTTTCAATCTTCCACTGAAATACATTCTATATCTGATCATTGCTATATACTACTTATGTGTATATGAGTAGTTCAAAACACAGCATATGTAACTTGTAAATTTATTAATCATTGAGTGTTTAAATTTCTAGCAATTAAGTTTATCATAACTGATAACAAGTGTACATAGATGTTATAAAGTTATTCAATTTTGTTTCAAATAATCTACGTAAAGCTTTGTGAAATATCTAAAATACTTAAAAATTCATTATCAAATTATTCTATTTGTTAGTTATAACCAGTTTCATACTAACTAATCATAAGTGATGCTATAATTTTCTCCATCAAACTGGAATGCTAACAGTTGTCTAATTATCACAAAACCATAGAATAATTTGCTTTCATATAATGAGATTAAAAGTAGTTGTCGAGACATTGGAACTAAGTTGCTCACTGACTGACACTCGTCAACAGAGTACATCTCAGTTGTACGGAATTGTTGCAGCCTGAGAAGCTGATGGGTAATATCTCTCACTATGACATTTAACAACGCGAGTTTGATTCTCAGCAAATCACAAGTATACCTTCCGGACGAGTGTTACCTAACACAAAAACTAAATGTCATTTTATCAACTCACATCATTGCGTATGCATTCAAATATGTTTATAGCATGATTTACGAACCTATTCTCGTCAATTTTGAATATTTTTGGTTATCTGTAAACAAATATGCCAATGGAGGGATATGACTTGACGCTGTCTAAAGCAGTCGTTATTTATATAATGAGTCATTCAGTCACAACGTAGAACTACAACATGTGCACATCGAACCGACTTGTCATATCTCATTAGCACAGAGAGATGAAGATGTCAGGCCAAATCTCACATCAGTAGGAGTAGTTACAGTATCAATGATAATAGGAAGGAATGGGCCTCGAAGATATGCCTCGAAAAGAAAATATAAATTAGCGGAATTAAAACAAGAAAAGTTATGAAACATTTCGAATCTCAGAATTTGGGGGAAGACAAAGACTGGATGCACCAGTGCCATTACAAACAATTTTGAGCCATGTCATTCAGAGTCACTAACCATTGGTTACGACATCCACACAGACCCTGATCAGGTAGTCTGTACCTACAAACATGGCTCATTCCAATTGTAAATGACTTCATGGGTCGATACTATGCTTCGATTTGGTCGTCCCCAACATTCTTCAAACCTACTCTTGCAACAGCAGACATCACTGGTTGCCCGAAAACGTCGAATAGAAGTGAGGGAGGTGGACGACGCTGACAAACACCACTTGAAGTGGCCAGTTCCGACAACAATTTACCATAATCGCTGACGCGACCAGAAGTGTTCGATTTGTAAGCCTGTATAAGGTTAATATTCTTCTTTGGTACTCCTTTCAACGATAGACACTGACATAGAACCTCACGGTCAACGAAGTCAGACACCTCCTTAAGGTCAAGGAATACAACTATAGTTGGACGTCGATAAGTATGTATATGTACCGGAATCTGTCAAAGGGTAAGTATTTGGTCTTTACATTTACTTCCAGTTCTGAAACCAGCCTGAGTTTCTCGAGTTTGTACTTCACGTGTTGTAATTAGACATAGAAGTTTTGTTGTGGCTAATATTTTACACAATATGTTAGTTAAACTGATTCCTCTTTGGTTGTCACACGAGGATGGTTGTCCTTCCTGATAGACTGAGATGGTCAGTGATTCAAACCAGTCGGATAGCATTACATCCACTTCCCAGATTTTGGCTAAGATTTCAGGTAATCTAATTGCTAAAAATGGACAACTATCCTCAAAATTCTCAGGGGTTAGTCCATCAGGTTCTGCTATTTATTTATTATAATCCCTAGTGATTAGTAATACCATGAAAACGTCAATATACCTAATGAAATTTTTATGTGTAGTTAAGTTAATAATGTATCCTTGATTTTTATTACTAAAATAACTGAAAATCCTTATAAAACTCATCGTTTAGCAACTAGTTATATAATTATTAAGAAATTATAGAGTGGCTCAGCAAACATAACACTTGCACAATATCTACACCAATGATACATTCATATTAATTAAAAAGTTTCATGGAATATTCTAGTATGATGAATTTTTGATTGAGTAATTGTTTTTCATAATATTCAGACTTTACTATTAAAAATAAGAAGGGTGTTTTGTGCAGATTTTAGTAATTTTATAGTTGAATTCATGAGTCATCATATGATCACTAGTGACTGACTTCAAGAGGGGTTTCCTGGAGTTTCAGTGAGAATCAGTGACCAGTAGAGTTCAACCAGATCTGTTGTGAAATAGTAACTCACTGAAGACAAAGGTTAAGCGTTCGCGCGCGAGACCTATAGGTCCTGGGTCCGAATCTCGAAAGGCGGGATCATGGATGCGCATTGTTGAGGAGCTCCATACTAGGACGAAACGGCCGTCCAGTGCTTCCAGGTTTTCCATGGTGGTCTAGCTTTAATTGACAGATAAATTCAAGTATTAGAAATCAGTAAATATTATATTATAATAAATATAGTACGACAAATATTAATCAAACACAGTGAAATTCACGTCAATAACATCCTAATATTCTTTTTCTTTTGGATTCAGACAATTCATTTAACATTTAATAATGTCTGTCTGGTCTGTCTTTTTTTTATTAAGGTTTCTTGTCACTGTTTTGTCCATGCCCATATTTATGCTATTTATATTCATATGCCAATGAACCGTGTTGGTTGCCTTGTATTGGCGCTGGAACTGGTCCACTTAGAATGCGACAACGTTTCAGGCATAAAATTAAAGTAAGAATTATTATTTGTTATTATTTTCTCTAATTCTTACAATTATTAATATTTGTAGAAATGTGTATATATACTCAATGGATTAGGAAAACAGGAATCATTTTTGTATAAAATTAAATCACTTCTTCTAAGTGTGATCAGTATAATATATTGAGATTGTTATATTCATAACTTAGATTTTTAATATACCATGTACCATTGGAGCACACAAACGCTAGAACCTTCCAAGTAGCAAATGAGAAGACAGAAGACAAGTGAAAGGAATTCTATTCAAAACAGTGTCAAATATGGTACAAACCCCTCAGGTATTTATAGTTTTCAGTAAAAACGAAATCATCGTTATAGTCCTGCAATCTGCATACAGTGGGGTTTTAACATCTGTCCGATAGGGAAGCTACACGATGAGATATTGGAATATTCTTCCAAAAGATGACTGGATGGAATATCTTCAGCACTTTCTGAGCTTCTTAGAGCTTTTTGAGTTCACCCGTCAGCCGTCCTCACAGATAAAAATAGTATTTTCATAAGAATCACTGTCAGTAAATATGAATTCAGTATATAGAAAAATAACTAAACCTTAACTTGTCATAATGTAGTTAATATTGAACAATTGTATGGATCATTTGATCAAAAGAAAATAGTTAGTATTTGAATTTGTGGAGATTGTGGTAATTTTAATAGTTAAATAATGAGTTAATCTAAGCTACACCATCATTGAAAACCTGGAAGCACTGAACGATCGTTTCTTCCTAATAGTGGACTCCTCAACAGTGCGCATTCACAATTCCGCATACAGGAAATCTTAACTAGGATTGTTGTCTTCATACATTACAATAACAAATGTTACTGTTCAACATAAAATTAGTGAATATATTTGACAGATATATCAGATATGTAGAAATTATCAAAATTATGATTAGTATAACCATTTCAAGAATGTATTAACAACTTTGAATATGTGATAACCATAAATGAAAATATTATTTCTTTGCTTTCTATGATTAGGGTGAGCTGTAAGTAATGAGTTTGATACTTAGATTACAAATATATTAGCGATCGAGTGAGTGACCTTCACAATATTAATCCTACAATCACTTATTATTATTAGAATGGGTTTTGTGGAGATTTTAGAAATTTCACAGATTGAAATCATGAGTCAGTTGAAGCTAGACCACCATTGAAAACCTGGAAGCACTGGACGGCCGTTTCGTCCTAGTATGGGACTCCCCAGCAGTGGCATCCACGATCCCGCACCACGCGGGGCTCACTTATATTGTCTTAGTAACACTTAATAATGTCAAAATTGTGTATATAGGAGTGTTATTTAATGAAGTGTAAACAACTTTGTTTGTTGAACAAATGCATTATTGTCTGATATAAATTCGTCTAGAGAACGTGGAACAATAAACTAATGTTATGAGTAATTATCAGCTGATTACTTTATATAACTGGTCATAATCTTTTGACCATTATTCTGTTCATTATTTTAACTAACCATTACATTTTTATAACAGTTCTAATCTCTGAATGAATGTATTTCACTATATGATCCCCTTATCAATAATATATGTCGATTCTTTTCTTTTAGGGTTCAATAACTAATGACTTTTTATTATCATGCATATGTACACAATGTGTTATGTGTCAATTAAAAAGAGATATGGATTATGTCATTAAAAATGATGGAGATATTTAATAATTTCTATATAAAATTCAATATGATCAAATCAAGAACTAAATTATTTGTGTGATAATCCATTGAAATCTTATATAATATGAGTTAAATATGTGTTAACAATGTCCAATTTTCTCCTTTCATTTTAAATAAAGTAATATAGTAAAAAAAAATTTAATTCAATAATTATGATTGATTGGTATTGGTTATTGATTATTATCTTTGGAGTAATTGATTTACGAATAAAATCATTGGATTATGTTGATACTTTTTTTCTGGTTGTACTTCATTTTTGTTTATTGGCTTATTTACAACTATGCATTTCTCTCCCTATAAATCCAAGTTGTTGCTTCACGACTCACCTTCGTCAACACCTGAACTAAGGATAGAGAGTGAAGTAGTGGAACGCGTTGATTACTTCACTTATCTTGGGAGTCTGATCAACCTTAATGGGTTGGTGTCTGATGACATCTCTGCACGGATTCAGAAAATTCGTTTGGCTTTTTCCAACTTACGTCACCTATGGCGAAGGCGAGATATCCGTTTATCAACAAAAGGGCGAGTATACTGCGCGGCAGTCCATTCTGTTTTAATTTACGGCAGCGAAATATGGCCATTAAGAGTAGAAGACACTCGTAAGCTACTAGTATTTGACCACAGATGCCTTAGAAATATTTCTGGCGTCTGCTGGGATCACCGGGTAAGTAATAGTGAGGTTAGACACAGGGTATTAGGGAATGATGGTAAATCAGTTGATGAGGTTGTGAATCTTCATCGACTGAGATAGTTGGGCCACGTGTTACGTATGCCTGAACACCGATTACCACGACGTGCAATGCTAACCGCTGTTAGAGATGGTTGGAAGAAAGTAAGGGGCGGCCAAACCAAAACGTGGCATCAGTGCCTGAAGTTACTAACTTCTAGTCTGGGCCATGTTGGTAGATGCAGACTACTTGGTTGGGGTCCGCGTGACTATCGTACCCAATGGTTGGAGACTCTGGGTGACATGGCTCAGAATCGATCACAATGGCGTCGGTGTATACACTCTCTGTCTTCTTTTAAACTATGAGATTAAAATCGCTTCATATCTTTTTTTCTACAAACTGATTCTTTCTTCTTGTACTATGTCATCATATGCAATCTTTCTTTTAAATAATACCACCACTGAATTAACTACTACGAATTCTGTGTTCATCTTGCTGTGCTAATGCGGTATGGCAACTTAGACCGATACGTATATTTGCCTGGTCCTACGTTGTAGCTAACTGACTGACTGACACTTACTACTGTGAGTAGGTTATATTGTTTTTAAAAAAATGAACATAGAGCAATAGATTGTATTCATATTTTATTAATAGATACACAGAATTTCAAGCCGATAGTTCTTTTTAGAACGAACTGACCTAATAAAAATGAATTTTGTAGAATTATACGAAAGAAGGAAGATCTGATTCAGATGTACAGGCAAGGATTGACAAAGTAAGGGCAGCATTTCTACAACTGAAAAATACATAAAACTCAAAACAACTGTCAACTAACATCAATGTAATAATCTTCAATATGAACTTTAAGACAATTCTCCTGTATGGAGCTGAAACGTGGAGAACTACCACAACCATCATCTAAACAGTACAAGTATTTATAAACAATTATCAACGTAAGATACTATCAGCAACAGCCTACTGTGGTTGAGGGAAAACCAGCCCCCAGCTGAGAAGAAAATTAGGAAGACTTTGAAAATCGATAAGACACACATTGAGGAAATTATCAAACTGTATCACGAGGCAAACCCTAACTGGGAATCTTGAAGGAAAGTTAAAATAATAGGAAGTCCAAAGAACACACTGAGTCGAGAATCGGAAGTAGACAACAAAATAATGAATAACAATTGCTAACAAATGGGAAGGATTGCCCATGACACAGTTAAATTGAGAATACTGGTGGGTGGCCCATTCTCCTCCACGGGCGATAACAGGCATAAGTAAATAAGTAAAATGAAGCAAACAAATTATCTGGTTTCATTTGACTACTTGATTAGGAAGGATTTTTCAACTAATAAAAATTTCGACTTAGTTTTCATGATGTACGACAATATTATTTCGTAGATTTATTGAAAATGAAGAACAGTCGAAAAGCTAACACGTTCTAGTATGAAATAACTCAAAAGTGTTGAACCATATGTCTATGACATACATATACACATTTGTTCACAGAACAAAACATCAAAAACATGTTTCGGTGTTAACTAAATAGATTTATTCACTTTAGATTTGTTGATTGCAAATATTTATATAGGATGAAATGTTGATACTATTGTTTATGGACCATTAAGTGTCCACCTAATAACCAGGACCAAATAAGGGTTATAAACCAGCGTGAGCAAATAGTATAGTGAACAGAACACGGGTGGAGACAATCGAATGTATCTAACACAAAACTACAGGACCTGTTAATAAAATCTAACAATCATAAAGTAAATGCTTAATTTGCGAAATGTCCACCAATTGTCTCAGAATAACTCAGACTTCATTATTCTTGCATTTTCATACAAATTGCATCCTGTTCCCATTCTTTACTGTTTGATCCTCTTGTCTCTCTGCAGCCAGACCTTCAGTTCATGACTAACATCATATACTGCTTATGTCAGTATAAGTAGCACACACCACAATAAAATTATGATTTACAGCTGATGATTAGGGTTAGAAATTAGATTTAGGGTTTTCATCACGAACTAACATCAGCTATAATGCCAAAACTCTATTTATCCGAGACCTGTTATCTTATACGTGATTGGTTCGTCCATAAATTATAGTCTCGCCGATAAAATAAAGTTTCCAGTAAAGTGAATTATAAATATGATGGTATACTTGTTGTTTCAAGTTTTATATCAACAAATGAGATTTCTTAGTATGAATTATTTAATTTCTGAGTGTGTTATTATAAGTTGGAAAATATAGTCTTGTCCTTTAAAAAAAACTAAGTTCTGTTAAACTTCTGTTGTTGTGCAACTCTCGGGAAAACACACTCAAAATTTAATTAGTAAATACGTTGTAGTGTCGGTGACTATGTTAAACCCACAAAGCTTATTCTAACTTCTGGACAGGCCAATTTTTCCATTCTTCTTGAGTCATGTTTTGACCTTGCTAAATATTCAATTATCAGCCTTGACTGTATTCACATGAGAGCATGTGTGTACATCTTATCCCACTCATCACATATCTGTACCTTATTTTTGAGTGACTATACATATTGAATAATGCTTGAGTTGGCTCACATGCCCTTTCCAATGCGGGTCATTTCGCTTCTTTCTCTTCTATTCGTTTCATCCCTCTTATTTTCTGTTCAGATCAGTGAGTGTACCATATATATGTATTCATAAATCCATTCTCATATTTGACTTATTCAATTCCGTTATTTACCAACGCGAATTAAGTAGATGATTATATACGAGGACTGACGAAATATGTACTTCGACAACATTCATACGATCTAATTGGAGTTAGATATCGGGCCACTAAAACGTTACACGGATTAGTGGATTTTTCGCTTTTATTAACTAAACTTTGTAATATGAAATTTACATTTTCAATTTAGATTAATGAAATATCAATTGTTGTATCTTGAATATAAATAATTTTCAAGTAATTAAACATTAAGTGTAAATTATTTCTAATACGATGGTTTGGTCGTGGAGGTTTCATTATCCTTTTAAAATAGCATCATCAGCAAAAAACTCGGACAGAAGTGAAGTATTCAAATTGTTCCACATATGACTGATAGCTTGCCCTATCGAAATCGATCTACCTCTTCAAATATATATATCCGACTAAACAAATGTACATCAGACGTTCATTAGTGACTAATGTTGAGATGAACTCCTAGCGTCTAAGTGAAAAGTCTTGATGAATGAATCGAAAGAATCTCATCTTACAAAACTAGTTTATGAACAGAAATAATGATATTAATGGGTTTATGTGTGACCGTACTACTTAGAAAGCAAACTGAAATTAGTAGGAAAATTGCTAGTTAACCTATCATGTAATGACGAATAATCTATTTCTTTTATAGAACCCTGTGTATTGCTTTACTGAGCGCTGATTGGAAAAAGTATCTTCAGACTTCTCTCATCTTTTTAAGACATTTCAGAGAAGTTCTCGATAACTGTTAGGAATAATGAACACATACATGGTACACTTTAAGCAAAGAATATTCTACATAGATTTCATATTTACTAAAAGGGAAACCACCGTGCTCAGTGAAAATACACAAGTCAAATACTTATTTTACCAAAGATTTTTTATTCTTTATCAACAACTAATCATGTATACACACTATAATTATTCCTTTTTAACATGAAAGTAGTTTATGTTATAGAACGCTCATGTAATCAAAAAACAACATTCTTCGAAAGAAGATTAAAATATTCCATTTTCCGATTGATTATATTTATCATAATTAAAATTTAGAAAGATTCCATATATCTCATATCTCGCCTCAACTGGCATAAAACAAGTTGAGGACAACAACATGTAATAAAATGATCATCAAGTAATGAGCCCTAATAAAATAGAAATTATTAAAATGAATAATTATGAATAATAATATTGGTAAATTTAAACAACTGAATAATCAAATATACCCACTGAGAGTCTAGAAGCACCGGAATGACGAATCTCTCAAGTACAAGACCCCTAAACAACACACATTCATGGACATCATCGGGAACTAGACTGAGGGCCTTAGACTCATAGAAACTTCTAGACATGGTAAGTCATTCATATGTACTACTGAGAAGTTTCATGCTAAGACAAAATGGTTATCTAGTCCTTCCTACTTTGCAGTGCTTGTCAAAATAAAAACCGACCGGTAATATAAACTATAGAAACGTCACATTCTTCACAAACCCTTTGTAATTATTAAACATAAGTTAAAACAGTTTCGGAATTGAGTGTGCTATATAATGGCTAAGAAATTCATCAATATTATTCGAAACACAGTAGTTGATATTGTTTATAAGCTAACATAACGAATATCAATATTGTAGAAATACATTTAACGGATCATATTACATTATCCAATGCGTTAGCACGAAGTTAATGTAAATAAATAAATATACATAATA